CCTATTCACTAGCTCCATTGCGCTGAAGTCAAAAGGCCCATAAAAGCAGCGATCGCGTAGTGCCTAGCACAATGAAACCTGACGGAGGCGGCATGAAGGAGAAGCGGAGCAGGCGGGGGGGGGGGGAAGCTGAGGAGGAGGAGGATAGGAGGTGTGGAACAGCGATGAAGCAAAGGAGGAGGAGAGGAGGAGGGGAGGAGCAGCAGAGAAACTGAGGATGAGTGGCGGAGGGGGTACGGATAAGCTGTGGAGAAGGGCCGGATGAGTGGAGAAGGCACATAGGAGGGCCCGAGGAAGGGGGGAGGAGGGGCCGGGGGAGGGCGTAGGAGGGGCCGAGGAGGAGAGGAGGAGGAGAAAAGGAGCGGAGGAGGGGAGGACGGGCTGTGAAGGAGCGGAGGGGGGAGGGGAGGAGCGAAAGGGGAGCAGGTGAGCAGTGGAGCAGCGGAGAAGAGGAGCAGAGGAGGAGGTGCTCATGATGAGCGGGGGAGGAGGGGTTGAGGCGTAGAGGATGAGCGGAGGAGGAGAGACAGAGGAGCAGAAGCGGATGAGGATGAGCGGAGGAGGGGCAGAGGAGCGAAGGAGTGGAGGATGAGCGAAGGAGGTGGGGCGGAGGCAAAGAAAATCTGCAGAGGGGGCGAGGAGGATGAGCGCAGGAGGAGAGGCGGAGGCGCAGAGGAGCTGTGAGGAGGAGCGGGGGAGGAGGGGTGGAGGAGCAGGAGAGGGGCAGCGGAATACGAGCGCACGATGAGCGAAGGCGTGGAGGAGTGGAGGGGGAACGGAGGAAAGGTGGGGGTTCCTGCAGTCGGTGGCGGGTAGCGATGCCACTAACCTGAGTCTCCCATCTTGGAGCGGCGGCCAAACACAGTCCAGTCCAGAGATCACACGGGCCCACCACAGCTCATGGCTAACCACAGTCGCACGCGCGCGCGCGCGCGCGAGAGAGAGAGAGAGAGAGAGAGAGAGAGAGAGAGGGAGAGAGTTGTCGTGTTTGCTATACACAACTCCACAAAAAAAGCATGACTCAGCCAGACTGTTTCGTCAGACGTTCACCGACTCTGTTTCGTCAGACGTTCACCGACTCATCAGGAGGTTGAACACCGACAGTCTGCCCAGGAGAAAGTGGTGAACCATTAGGCCAAAGAGTGTGTGCGTGTGTGCGATGCCATGTTCGCCATACAACTCCACGAACATTGAGCTCGGACTGTGTGTGTGTGTGTGTGTGCCTGTGTTATAGATTTTCCCCACAACAGCCCCAATTCCACCCAGATGAATAGATTCAGAATCAAAGCAGTCTTCGCCTATTGCAGACAACGAGAGCATTTGAGATGTCAACCATGCAAGGAAAATGAGCAATAGCGAAATGACAATATCCAGAATGCACAATCACATTGAAAGCCAGAAAGTATCACAGTGTCCAGAAAGCATCATTGCACCAATATGACACCAATGGAGAATAGTAACACTGAAAACCAATGTCAATGACAGCTTGCTCTCGCCACCACCAACACAGAGTCCAGGACCTTCTCCCTACTTGGCGCTCGGCGCCCAGCCTACTTCCTACACAGCTACTATCTGCCGTATGTGCCCTCACATCATCATCATCATCATCCTTCTCTCTTTCCCTCGTATTAAACCCACGTCCTCTCTGTACACCCAAAGACCACCCCTGCGCCTCACTATAGTCCAAGCCCCATCCAGCTATGGAGGCTTGGCTATGGTGCTGCCCTCGGCAGCGCCCTGCTTCCTGCACGACCACACGCGCGCAGCACCTTGCCCTTAGCGCTCAGCAGCCCACGAGCAATCGCTCCAGCCGCGCTGCCGCATCATCTGGCATGTGCCTGAATGAGAGCCCAGGCAGCGAGCTCTTTCATTTATGGAAAGAGCCTGCCTGCCCCGGCGGCCTGGCTGGCCTGGGCCTCTGCCCAGAAGCTCCCGGTAGGCCCCAGGAGGCTGCACCACTGTTGCAGCTGCTGGGCCTTGTTCGGTTGGGCCTCCCAACTGTCTGTGTATGAGGCTGCGATTCTTGCCCAGGGCCTGCATTTCAGGAAAGGCCTGGAAGGCCGGGGAATGTCTTTGCTGCTCGACCTGTGTTTCCTGCAACCAACTGGCACATCACAACTGCCTGGACCCCAAATACGAAATTGACAGCAGAGGGCCTCTCGAGATTTGTTAGGCCCGCTTTTACTTAGGGCGGGCACTTCTGTAACAGGGCCCCTTAGGCCTGCCGAGGACCCAGATCCTCGAACCATATTAAAGCAATTTTATAATTAGACAGTGTTTTGGTTGTCCTTGGGGTGGCCCTTCCATTGTTCTTGCAGCTCCCGTTTTACTGTCCTCTTACGCACAAGGTTACCCATGTTGATTGTGGTTGAGCAGCAGCTGCCCACATCCCCGTGTGCCTTCACGACCCACTTGCACGTTATTTTAGGAGGCAGAGTAAAAGGGAAGGTATGCTCCTGTGCATTTCTCTTCAGAGCTTCATACTCCTGTTCATTTCACTTCAGATCTTCAGCTTTTACAGTCTTTGTGTCCGTCCTTCATCTTCATACTTCCGTTCATTTCATTTCTGATCTTCATATCGTCTGTTCTCTTAATGATGCTCACTTGTATGTATTTGTTAGTAGCACAAAGGGAGTGGAGGGGAGGGTGGAGGGAAAGGGATAGAAGGCGGAGTTCTATAGTGTGTGTGTGTGTGTGTGTGTGTGGTTGAAGCCCGACAGAGTGTGTGTGTGTGTGTGTGTGTGTGTGTGTGTGTGTGTGTGTGTGTGTGTGTGTGACAGAGACAGAGAGAGTCGAGCGCGGTGGAGGGCGATCCATGACACGGCGGGTGCCCTGGGCACGAAGTTGGACAAAAAACGGAGGCGATTGAAATAGCCCGTTGCAATGGACAAAGGCGGCGTGATGTACCCAAAGTTGCCTGCTATCTCGGCCGTTGGGACCGAGGTACCAGGCCAACGGCCTGGATTCAGGCACAGTCTGAAGATCTTAAGACTGGGTCAATCCAGGCCGTCAGTCCGGTAGCACCCGACAGCCCAGATCACAGACTTCTTACATTTCTTCGATGATCTGGGCCGTCATTCCGGTAGCACCCGACAGGCCAGATCGCAGATTTGTTACATTTCTTCGACGATCTGGGCCGTCAGTCCGGTAGGACAATGACGGCCCGGCTCTCAGATTTGTGACGCTAGCAATTTTAATAGTGTAGGGATCTTGCATGATGATAAACAAAGAAACCTAGGAAAGGCAAGGAAAAGCTGAAAACCTGAAGCTTACCTCCTCATAATCTTTTCGTGTGAGAACAGGTCCAGGGCAGCTGGTTATGATTAACTTCTGTATTTTCTCAGGGAAGAGCTGAGCCAGCCTGATGGCAGAACCAAATAATCAACCCACCAGAACACCCCCAAACAAAACACATGTTTCAGAGCACAAACAAGTCACAGTTCATAGATCCTCAACACAAACACACTCGGACATCCAAATACCCCCGTTTACCCTTTCCACACTACCTTACCTACTATTCTCTCTCTCTCTCTCTCTCTCTCTCCCCCCCTCCCCCCTTACCCACTCATACTTTTTTTTTCCCCTCAATGAGTCAATGCCCAAAAGGCATACATTCTACGCATTATCCTTGCACATGGAGAAAATGTGACTTGACACTCAGTCCTCCATCCACCCAACCCATTCAGTGCCCCCTGGTGTACTATTCCCCTGCCACCTCCTCAGGCCTCCACATCTTCACTCGTCATCCATCTCCCTATGGTAATGAATTTGAACACATGCACATCATCTCTCTCCAACACACACACAAAGAGAAATGTACAGGCTTCCACATTCTAAACCCGAAACCCAAACAGAGCACAACACACACACACACACACACACACACGCACACACACGCACACACACGCACACACACACACACACACACAATCAGTTTTATGTCTGTCAGTCATTTTCCTGTTGTCCGTCTTCCCTCTGATATTTTTTATGTATTGTTCGTGTGCCCAACTGAGCACCCTTCAATAGTGCCAAACGGTCGGTAATTCCATGTCTGGAATGCCTACTGCACTCTTAGGGGAGCCTGCTCGGTTCGGGGTGTCTGTGTTGCCTGTGGGTGATGACGGATGCTTGTCCCTGGCTCAGTGGGTGAAGGGAACCAACAGTCTGCGGGGTTCAATCGTGATGTGAGTAGGTCATGTGCCGCTTTGCTCCATGTTGGACGTGTGCTTTCTTCGCATGTGGTTCTCTGCAGGTTGTTGTATTCGCTGTGTGGTGTGGCCGTGTTGTTGGTGTTGCCTTGTGCTTTGCTGCTCGGCTGCCTTGCTTCCCTTCCGCTGGTCTTGCCTTACATGTTTGCTGCTTGTGGGCCTTGTTGGATGGTTGCCTTGTTGCTGGTGCCTTGTGTTTACTTAATAAAGTACTAAGTAGGGGTTAACCCATAACAAGAAAAAGACAGCTTTGACTTATCCAGAAATGTCGCATTACATACCCCACCAGAATGTCATATCAACAGCCCTCCAGCAGGGTTATTCATCCTTCGCTGGTGGCTGCTGGCTGGGGTCCGACGGGGGCAGGGACCACCATCAAACGGCAATCGGCAGGCTGCAGGGAGAAGAGGAGTGGCCAAAAAGAAACAGAAGTTACATTGAAAGTACTTAAAAAAGAAAATACAGAAGTGTGCCGATGACCATCTGCCACATCCACCCACCAACACACACACGCACACACACACACACACACACACACACACGGTGAAAGTCCAACGAAACAGTCTGGTACAGTCATGCTTTTTTGAGCGTGTAGCAAATATGACAACACACACACACACAGTCAGTGAAAGTCCGACGAAACAGTGTGCCACCTTTCCTTGCGGAGTTGCGTATGCCGAACATGACAAAACACATTCTCCAAATTCTCTTTTTTCTCAAGTTTTTTGGTCTTCCATTCCTCCCCTCCTCCACAAAGTGTAACTGTAGTCTCCCAAAATGGAATTGATTGATTTCTCCTTTTTTTTAACTGATTGAAGGGAAAAGAGACAAAAAAACACATTCAAAAAGCCGTCAGCTGGTTCTCAGACATGCCTGCTGTAAAAAAAAAAAAAAGAAAGAAAGACAGAAAGAAAGAAAGAAAGAAAGAGACACCTGCCGTGGAAAGAAACCATCAGATGATCGGATCCGCCGGTCAGACACACACACTTGTTTGTATGCAGGTACCTAGAGTCCTAGACAGCATTCGGACCAAGTGGAAGTCTGCAACTGTATGAGATCCAGGCCGACGGCTGCGAGTCAATCTAAGCCACCGTGGGTGGGAGACCTGAGGCAGGTCAATCCGGTCAAACGCTAGACAAGACCCCGCCGCCAGGAGTTGACATTCAGTCTTGATATGCTGGCTTGACGCTGGCTGGATGCTGGCTTGACACTGGCTAGACGCTAGCTGTACGCTGGCACTGTGGACCACGACGCAAGACTGCTGCTTGCTTGCTGGCGCCCTTCTGTCTTGGCGCCAACCTCTGCTGACGCGGCGCAAGCCACGCTGTCTTTGACATTGCTGACGTGGCTCATGCCACCCTGTCTCTATTGCTGATGTGGCATCTGCCACACTGTCTTCATTGCTGAGTTCGAGGCGACGAGGGAGATCGGGATCTGTGGATGATTCAGAGAGAGAGAGAGGGGATACTAACCTGCTGATGATGTCGATACCGTGCGCTGCTGAACGTCTTAGCGGGAGAACTGTGCCATGTGGCACTCTGATGTGATCAGGACCTGTCAGGCTCGTTATTGGACACTGTTTGCTGACGTGGAGGCGAGGGGAAGCCTGGAGAAGGAGAGGGGAATATTGGGCTACTATCTCTGCGGTCATTGATGGATACTATCTCTTCCACCTTCTAAACTGTCTAATCCCCTCTCTTCTCTTCGTCCATTGGATACGACATTGTTCAGCCCGAGAGGGGAAGCCCGGAGAAGTTACCTTGTATTTCGACATCTGACGAGTATCCTACAGACTGGGTTCATTACAATTTGGTATCAGAGCTTACCTTCTTCGTCGCGATCTGCTGTCAGGCCCCAGGTGGCGCCCAGGTAAGTGGAAGGTGCCGCACGCGATTGGGAAGAAATGCATTTATAAACGCGAGCGATTATCATCGCGGTCTAGACATGGACTACCACGCACGTGCACGCCTCCTTGAAGATGATGATGTGGACCTGCTGAAGAGAAGACGGCGACATTGCTTACGTGGCGCTTTGTTGCTGACCTCGCGATCAGATACCGGCGAGAGCGTCGCTGGTTGCGGGCTGATGTGGCGCTGGTGAGAGAGAGAGAGAGAGAGAGAGAGAGAGAGAGAGAGAGAGAGAG